TCTCTCTCGAAGTGCAAAATGTTACTTCAGTATTGGGTTGCATCGTTACCTGAACTAATGATAGGGAGTGAAGTAGTTGAGCGTGTTGACTGCTTCACTTATCTTGGGAGTCTCATCAGCCCTTGTGGTCTGGTGTGTGACGAAATCTCAGCACGGATACAGAAGGCTCGACTAGCTTTTGCCAACATGCGTCATTTATTGCGTAGGCGAGTTATCCGGCTAGCAACAAAAGGACGGGTTTACTAAGCAGCAGTCCGTTCCGTCCTACTTTATGGCAGTGAAAAATGACCGATAAGAGTAGAGAATTGTTGTAGGCTACTAGTATTCGATCATAGGTGTCTTCGAAGCATTGCTCGTATATCCTGGGACCAGCGGGTAAGTAATGCAGTTGTTGGGAAACGGGTACTAGGTAAGGATGGCAAATCGATTGGTGAAGTAGTGAAACTTCATCACTTGAGATGGCTGGGACACGTGTTACGTATGCCCAACCACCGACTCCCCCGACGTGCAATGCTTTATGGTGTAGGAGCAGGTTGGAAGAAAGCTAGGGGCGGCCAGACCAAAACGTGGCATAAATCCATGAAGTCTCTGACAAGTGGACTGAGCCATGTTGGTAGGTGTAGACTACGTGGTTGGGATTCGCGAGATGATAGCAACCGATGGTTAGAGACCTTGAATGACATGGCTCAAAATCGTTTGCAATGGCGAAGGTGCATCCACTCTTTGTGTTCTACCAAATTCTAATCTTCTAAATTCTTTATGATCCTTTCCTTTTTCTCTTTCCAAATTCGTCTCACTGGAATATACTCCTTGAATAACATCTTCAAACCCCAATCATTCGGATAACTGCTTATACTCTTTCTACTTCTACCACTATGGGATTCGAATCGACAACTGCATCTCTGTGCTAATGTGGTATGGCAACTCGAACTGATGTGCGTACGTACGAAGTTCTACGTTGTGGCTGACTGACTAACTGAGTTTGGGACTCATCAGAATTGTGTATCGGTGACACTGTACATAGGAACGGAAAGCCGGATCTTAGGTCTCATGCCTGGTGCTTAACCTTTGAACCACAGAACTGGAACTTATTGGTGTACATGTCTAGTTTAGTCGATTTGCAATGTACTGATATCATTTTTCACTGTCTTTGATAGGTGATTGCCTTGGAAGGGACACACTTGAAACCTATTGGTCACAGCTTCGCACTAAAATCTTAAAATTATTTCTCTGATTCAGTTATTAGTGAGCACATTTTTACCATTTAACTCACTCTTATTTGACTGATGTTTAAGTGAGGAATAAAGATATAACGAAGGTCTTAGTCGAAGTGTAAAGTAATTTTTAATAACAATCTATTGTTTACTGGCGAAATGTTAGAAAAATAGATGAGTAATGGGTAGCTACTTTACAAATTATTCAAAAAAAAATTATACAATGTTCTTCAGTTTCCAGATAACACATTTATACAATGAAAATTTCATTTATTATCTCACGGTGTTGAAAGTCAAAGTGCTGTTTTGAACAGAATGAATTGATCACAAATTATCCGTAAAGGCTCTGATTGGCTGAAAAATAGTGATATATATATATATATATATATATATATATATATGCTAAAGACTCATTTGTATTTGTTGTTTGAATTTTTCGTTAAACTTTTATCATTGTGATCGATCGGTCTCTTTCTTGCATATTTTCATCCTGTGTGGATTGCCTTGATGTTGTCATTGAGTCGCAAGCATTACAAGCAGAAATGAATGATGGCTAGTCGTAGAATCCAGGATGCACATTTGTCATGCTGAAAACTTTAGGGTAGAACTAAAAGGAACTCCGTGTGGAAAATTTTTTTTGATGAAATCATTTACTTAAGCTGTACATTTATATTACAATTTTTTTGATAAATATATAAGTCTAGAAGAGAATAAAAAGTAATTACATTACAAAGCGATCGCAGATTTTAGATGTCGGAGGAAGCTTGTATTATGGTCGAGAAGTTAGAGAAGAATAGAGGGTTAAAATTTATTTATTGACCAGAAATATTAGAGATACTTTTCAAGTTGACAGATACAATGAAGAAGGTCATAATAACAAATGGATAATAATCACGCAAAAGTGTTGGAGGTTGACAATGACTGATTACAGTTCGAAAAAGTACAGATAATAATAAAAACAATAATAAAACCGAAACATACTGGCAAAGAAGACTAGGGTTATGGAAGAATGACAAGTTCAGGCTTCAGTTTGCGACTTGTCAGCATTTGAACATCCCATAATTTTGTTAATCAACCGACATTTGATCCCATGTCAGGTCTAGTTTATTTTGAAAGAAGATTCTTTTGGAGCAAAGTGCTCAAAGTTGATGAGATGCTGGTGTATTGAGCTACTGATTGTTTTGCATTTCTCTGCTAAAAGCCATCCCGAGTATTATAATGAGACGTGTAATTTCAGGAACAGCAGTCCTAAACATATTTTGAGTTCATGTCTAAATTTTTTTATTCTGTTGCTAATTTGTTGGTTATATGAAATTTTGCCAATTTTTTGAGGTAATTTATATTCATTAAAAAGCTTCTTGTTCGTGAGCAATTCTACAGTTTATTCAAGAGTTCCTTAAGAGTATGTTTCGGTAAAATATTATAGAATACGGTAAAAGTATAGTATACTGACGGTCTTGGAGGGCTTATCAATCTTTCAGGAGACATTGCTTAGTTATCAATCAATTAACAAAGCAATGAAATGATGGTATGGTGACAGCTTTGATCTGAACGACTAACCCTCACATGTCAAATTATCCATTGTAGTAAAGAAAAAGGGGCAAGTCTACATATACACATATACATTAGGAGGTGGGATATCGTTATGAGTTGAGATTATCACTCTATTGTTTTCGTCAGCAACTGACATCAGTCATAATGCAAAAAGGTTAGAGTTAAGTATTAGGATTTAAAATGGAGTTTTGAGTTAGGTATACAAATTAGGGTTAGGAATTTCAACACGAATCAACATCAGTTATAATCTAATGCTTTGCAACCTTTCTGTTTACAAACTTGAAAAACGTAGTGTTAGTATTTAGAATAATAGTAAATAGTGGAGAATATTATCTAGTTTCAGTAATAACTCATTTACAATATTGATAGGAGCTGTAGTTTCAATTTCATTTTCACTCAGTTGCGCTTGGCATGTGATGCGGTTTGGTGGTTTCCGTATTGTATGTCCCATCCACTTCCAACGCTTTTTTCTTAATTTCCTCTTCAACTGGGGACTAGTTTGTTTTCTCCCACGCTAGGCTGTTGCTGATGGTATTCGGCCAACAAATATTGAGCATCTTGTGCAGACATTCGTTTCTAAATACTTGTACCTTTTTGATGATGGTTGTAGTTTTTCACGACGTTTCACCTTGGTACATTGTAACTGTATTGACGTTCGTATTAAAGTTTCTGACTTTGATACTGAGTTCCATATGTAGTTCAATTGTAGGAATGCCGCCCTTGCTTTGCCTATGCTCGCTTTTACGTCTGCATGTGATGATGGCTATTATGAATGCAGTTGAATAGTTGACGACGATGAATTGAAATCAGTGAACTATGTTTGCTTGTGCGGGTCATTTTAAAGAACGCGCTGGTGTAGACTAGGCAACCATTGAGTATCAGTGACCAACGGGCACCTATTTGGTACTACTTTGATATGCTCCGGCAGTATACACTCAAAACTCTATCAGTAATCAAACCTGTAGTGTTTTAGCTTGGTCATGAGTACGTTGCCTTTGGACTTTGCGCTTGGTAGAGAATTGTCAAAAGTTCTATTTTTAATGAACTCACGACATTTAAACGCTATCAATTTCAGTTTTTCATGGGGAATTTCAATGGTAAATGACTGAAAACAATAGTGCGTCGAAAAATTCGTAATATGTACTCTGCATACTATAGAATGTAGTTTTGTTTCGAATGTTAACATATACATTACTTGTAAGTAACATTACCAATGTTTGATTTGATGATTTCGAATAAATTGAGCATGAAGTAGAATGTTGTAAATATATTAATTTATTTCATACATTACTTACCAACATTTGTGTTTCAAAATTAAAATATACAATTAATCGATAAAAAAAGGAAAGTGATAAGCTGTTGGCTAATTTTATATGGTAGTCATTTTGTGATAAGCAGGATTAATTTTAATAGGCTTCGCATGAAAAAACTGTATTCACGCTCAAAAATAATTCCGATTAAATGATTAAACTGAATCGCAACTACTCAACAATCCTGTGATAAAATATCGTTGACATGGTATATAGAAACTGAGTAACAGGTTTACCGGAGAAATGCGTATTTCACAAAAAATTATGAAATATGAGGATGCTTTTAGACAATCAGGAGGTATGTGTACCTGGTACGACCCAAGTAAGACAAAATGTACTCTAGGATTCCGTTGGTAAGCACAATCACACTGTTCTATGGATCATGTGTATCTTGAATAAAGCATGTGAATTGATGAAAAGGATACCATTAAAGGGAAGAATATATATTTGAATGCTTTCCATCAATAAATCGATATTAAAACATTTTTGAACAGAAACTGGGATAGAAATTAAATTAATTAAGCAAGCTTTAGAAAGCTTATATTAATAAATGATGCACAGTTATATTTCTATACTAAAAACACAACAAGCTACGCTAAAAGCAACAACAGTGTTTAATTCAATGAAAATGCAAATCATTGTGAATTAAATTCATTAAAGCCAATAAGAAGCATGAAAAATGACCAATCAAAATTTAACAGCAAATACCCAATCATTTTCATTGTAATTGAAAGTATTGGTTATGTTAGGTAACTTGGTAAAAACATATACGGTGCATTATACATCTATATTTTTTCTAATTGAAATTCACTTTAAAACAAAATGGTTATCAATTTGAATGTAAGAGTTTTTATCACTAAACTAACCAAACTCAATGGAGTTCTAAATATGAAGTTATAAAATTATATTTTTGTGAGTACAGAAGATGAAAAATGTGTTCATGATATTCATAAAATTATCAGAAATTGTTCACTTATTGTGGAATATAAACAGTTGATTATTTTACTGAATTATTCTACATTTCAGTATGTTTTGATTTTACGTAAGTGACTAGTTAGCATTGTTAAAGATAATCTTAAATGTCTTGTTTTGCTTTCTCAGTAATAAACGTAATAATATATTTGTAATGTAACAGTGTCGTGTGCTAAGTATCAATAATATGGTTCGACCTCATAATTTCAAATGAATTGAATATTAAGTGAGTTAGTCATAATAAAAACATAATAACTTTATGATATTTCAATGCGTGGTAAAATTGAATCTCCAGCATTTTGTTGCTGAATACATAACACTTCTTCAAAGAACCGATAAAAAAAAGAATAACCGATCTCGAACATAATTCTAAAATTATGCAGTACGAACCTTGAATACCATGAAATTTAGTTACACATCAAATGACAACAGACAGGTTTTTCGGTTATTCAGTAACGATTTTGTATATTCTCTGAGGAAGCGACTTACGTCAAGTCACGAAACGACTTAAATTTAATTTTCTACAAATTGTGATTTCGCGAGTATGTTATTTTTCATTACAGTGCAATGTATTACACACAGTACTTAAACTTGAATTAGTATATTTCTCTTCAAGAATTCATGATTTGAGCAAATTGCCACTAAAACGTATCGTCTGCTACTGATTTGCAGTAGATAATATTAACTATAATCGATTTAAATAATTCGATAAATTTTATTATGATTATTTAAACCTTTATTAAAGGTTTATTATCTCACCGAGTATTGGACAGTTCATTTTATTTTTGCCACACAAAGATGTTACATATTTTGAATAAAACTCTGAAGTGTAATTTGCATTTACTGTAGGGTTGTCTGTTGCAAAAAATTACTGACTACATTCTTTCATGTTTGTTGCCTAAAACTAACTAGAAGTATCGGTTATCAATGTCAATTTAAACAATCAATTTGTTTTCTTCATTATATTTATTGTGTCTTCATATGAGATATTATGAAATATTTAGTATCAAAACGTTTTGTATTCAATTATTATAAATGTTAGTGCATGAAAGGAAATTACAAAAAAATGTCTCGCAGATGAGAAAGCGATAAGAAAACTTAATACAGATGCTTTCGATATAAATATTGCTGACTATTACATGAATTGTTTTAAGAAATAAAGCAGATTCTAGACTTAATATTTAATATAATTATTGAATATCCGAAAATAACTATTGCAAAACATCATAAATTTGGCATGGAAGAAAGGTGTGCGTATTGAGTAAAAGGCCATAGATAATTTAAAACAGATATATGTGTAACACTGAGAATAATCAGTAAAATAGTAATTGGTTGTAACAGTTAATTTTATCGCAAGTGTACACAGACAATTTATCAATCAATAAAATTTCGAGTGGTTAATGCTAATAAAAGATACCCTCATTGCATTCTCTCTATAAATGTTCATTTAATGCACTAACTCCTTTTCAAATGGGTTTTCAAGATAGTATCATTAAACGTCCTAACTTCCTGTCGTTTTTCTGTAAACACTCGGAATTTTGAATTTAGGCAGTTGAAAGGAATAAGCTGAAATCCTTGTATTTAGATTTCGCGATCATTAACATTCATAAAAAAACAATATGCACAATCTTGAGAAAACTGATGATCTGGGTGAGATATCAGTTCGTGTTGTGCACTGTCTGTCAAATACGTTATCACTAAACCAATTAGTCTTCAATTAACCGGAGGTAGGTTTGAGAGATTAACACTGATTAATCACTGAATGGGAATCAATGTACATCTTTATTTATGTTAGTAGTAATATTAGATATATGAATCAAGTAATTTATATCATTTGTATACAAACAAAAGTAAAAGTTTCTTGTGTCTAAGTGCGCATAGAAACTAAACAGGTGTAAGATGAATTAGTTACAATTACCATCAATGAAAATTGAATAGTAACCTTCCAACTGTTTAGCAATACGGAGTGAAAGTTTGCTAGTAGATTTAACAATATTCTGTAATTTTCGTGCTTAACACTCATCATTATATTCTAAACATTACCATACTATGCATGTCAAACCATATAGCTGACATTATTTCTTATGAAGATAAACATTTCTAATAGATGTCAATATTAAATAATCGTTCTTTCATTTTCATTTATTCTAGACTCGTCAAAAGCTCAAGAAGTTAATCAACATAGAACCAATACATCTCATTTTTAAACACACCATTGAATATTTACCTAAACATTTGATAAGTAATATTTAAACAGAAAACTCTGTAAATTTCGATGTTTCACACTGATTTACTAGCTGTGATCTTCTTATGTTTTGTAACATTTTTCATAGCTCTTCGGTATTTGATATTTTATCGCGATTCAAGACAGACTATGAAAGGTAAAAGACGTGTCAAATCTATGAATAAACAGTCAAATAATAAATACGGAAGAAAAGAAATTACTCGACTGTATAGCTTTGATAAAAACGCCTATCAAGAGATGTATCTTTATTCATGTGGTATTAGTAGTACTGAACATTCGAAATGTGATTCGTTTAGCAATGCAAGTTTAAAAACAGTTCAAGAAATGATGACATCTAAAGGAACACAACAAACATACAGTTTACGACAAATGTCATCATATCAATCAAATGAGAATGATCATAGATTACCAGCCCCTAGTGACAAGAAAACTAGACTTATTTTTGGTTTACAAAATCCACCACTGAATATTACTAAACTTCAAATGGTACAACCAGATTGTAAAATGGTTACAAAGAAAGGGACATTACTTCGAGCATTCTCTGAAAGTTGTACAACTAAGTGTGCAAGTCATACTGGTAGTATTAGTCATGAGGACAGTGAGATAAGTAGCAATAAAAAATCAATATCATCTGATAAAGAAACACAAAATAGGATTCATTTACCAAAGTTAAGTGATTCAAATGTTTCCGGAAACTTACAGCTTTGGTCAGACATTACAAAATTCAATAAATCATTAATTCGAAGTGAAAAATCATTATCATCACCAAGTGAATCTGTATGGTCAGAGGTTAAACGTCGCTTTAGTAGTACTGAAAACGTTTTCGATCCTGTTATGCGTATCTTGTCTACAGTACGGTTGAAAAATCAAACAGATTTAGACAATACATGGACAAATTTCACAACGAATCCAGATACAAAGGGACATATATGTTTTTCATTGCCATATACACGACTATTGGAATACTAAATGTAACAATTAACCGATTAATCGGTGTTAGTAATCTTATTAAAAGTTCAAATATTTTACCAAGTCAAACATCAACTAATTTTGTTGTAAGTTTACGTTTAAGACACAATAAAAGTTCTACAATTTACATAGGAGACGATGAAGATAATGAAAAGAGAATAAATTCGCGTAATAAAAGTGAAGGTTTTCATAAAAATTATAATACACAACCAGTTTTAACTTCATTAAATCCAAATTTCGATCAGTCATTCTCATTTTCAATCACAATGAATTAATTAAACAGTGCTGAATTAGTTTTAGCGGTATTCCAGTCAACAACAGTGAATGAATTTACTAACCTAAATAGTAATATAATACCAAGACGTAATAATCCCGTCGTTTCATATCATCATTCATGTCCTTGTGGAAATGATAGATCTCTACGTAGAGTGAATATGATATTTGAAGAGATGGGATGTATTGGTGTAACGTTTTACAAATTAAACCAACATGAATTAATTAATTGTCCCGAAAAAATGCAAAATATTTGGCAGGAATTGGGAAAATTACCAGAGTTTCAAAGTAGACAGACAAAAATAGAAAACTGTGATAACAATGACTCAATAAATTATTTAACAAACTACAAGGTATATCCATTCGAGGATGGAAAAACTTTGGTAAATGATGTCTTATATTACTCAGATGTTTTTAAGTAGTCACCAAAGATTATTTACAGTTTATTATAAGTATTTCTGATCGACTGATCAGTTTTCATAGTAATTCATAATAAGGTGATTAATTGCAAATGAGAAAGCAGTCAGCTATTTTCAATGATTGCAGAAGAAGTTATACTTCAGAATATTTTTGAAAAACCCTACATGTATTAAAGAGAATCGATAATGAGTTGATGCATACGGATGATTGGTTGCACAAATCATGAATCACGGATTGCATATGAATATCGGCGAGATTTCTTTCATAATCATGATGGACTAAAAATTAACTAGTTGTAGTAGCATTTTTGAGCGCATTTTATAAGATACCCTAATGGAAAACTTCTAACTCATCTTTTAAAAGCGTTGACATGTTAACATCTTTCCATTACTAGTTATACGGTTCATTTATGGTGTTAAATACAAAAACCGTTGTTAAACAGTCTATAGTTAGCTAATGTTTATAGAGGATGCATATATTTTACTGAGTGACTATGACTAATCAAAAGTGTAATTTTAATAAACAATTATGATTCCGCTAGAACCGTGTTTTCAGAGATCACTCGGGGTACCTAAATATTATACGATTTGAATACCAGTCAAGAAAATAAGAAGTAAAACAACTAACGATCTAACCGTTTATTAAAATTTTCTTTCAGGTAGTTTAGATATTTAAATTTATTTAAAATAGATTTATTTCATCAATTTTTTACTGCAAATCAAAATCAGAACAATTGATCAAAAATAATTTAACGTATACATAACTACTGAGTTATTAAACCAGAACTCAACGAACATTATTTCCTTACATTCAACTACTTCAAAATATGATTATTTCTAAACATAGTTACGTGTGGTCATATCTGCTGTCGCTTTTAAGTTAAATCAACTACATTTATCATAGATGTTAGTTACCTCAGAATATCAGGAATCCTTTCACATAAACATATAATTCATCAGTATTTAAATGAGAGTCTCAAAATAATTAATATCAATATTAACAAACAGCTAATTCATTTATAATGAAAATTCAATTTAATCTAACCGTTTGACTTTTTTGAATTTAATACAATTTTATCAATTTAGAAACCACTATAAATGACTTAAAAATAGTTGTATAAAAGCTTTAAAAATTTATAACGAAACTATTTATAATCTCATTTTATTCTGTGACCAAAAATGAAAATACACCAAACTGACTGAAATAAATCTTATCAAATTTTAGTAGTTCAGTGAATAACGTGTTCAGAGTTTGAGACGTAACATATTTGGTTCGATTACTGTTGTAAGGATCATCTAGATAACAAACACTAAATAGAAAGAAACCAATGTACTGGATTCCAATACTAGGCTATTTCTTTACTTGACTACGCAGATAATACAGTTTGAAATTATTTCCTTCTATGTCTCTGTATATATATATATATATATATATATATATATATACGACATTTGTTCGAATTTCATTTTCTTTTAGATTAAGGATAAATCTTTTCTCACATAGAAAATCCTTTAAAGGATTTTAAGAACTACTTTCACAAATAAATATACTCACAGAAGAATCAATGCAATAGTAATTAGGAATAAATAAACTCGTTATGATTAGAATGTCCTTTTTTTTCCGTAATGTTGACACAATATGGAATAGTGATCAATTAAATGGTGATGAAAAAAAAGGGTTTATGATGTTAAGGTGAATTTCATAGTCACACAAATAAATTGTCAAATATTTTGCATTATTTCTACTTGAAGTATTACTTATATTTCAGCCAAATGTTAGTTCAGAAGTTCCACAAATTCAAGAGTTAAAAAAATCATTGGTGAAAGTAACTATTCAATACAAAATAGATTCTTCTATCTTTGACATTTTTATAGAAGAGATGAAAAATGTGAAAATTTTAAAAAATGAAAGTAAGTTATAACTAAGCTTCTAATACTTTTTAATTTGGGATATATTTTGTAAAAATTAATAAAGAATTCAAACAAATCATTTTAAAATACATTGACAATAATCAATATTTTAATATACAATTTGAACAAATCTAATTCAATAATTGTTTTTAAGTAAAACATTATTAAAATAATTGATGATAATATCAAGCATAAGATATTGGGAAAATCAATAATCAAATTGATGAAATCGATATAAAATACAACTTTATTCATGAAAAAAATGTTGAAAAAAGATTATTGAACTTGTAAACCTGTGCGTTAAGATCAATAAGAAATGTAATAATAAAATGTGATAACTACAACAGTATGTGAGTTGTAGAAGGAAAAATATCAAACCTCTGAGGTGAAAGATAAATTCTAGATTAGTTTGGTTTATAACGCCACTTTTCGGTTTGGAATAATATAAACATCATGGTTAATATTATTGTCTGTAGAACTTTGAAAGACTATTGAAAGTGTTTGATTTCATTATCAGGAACAAATTTGTTTAGGTAAAATCAATATTAACGACCTTTGACAGTATTATCAAGTTGTTTCATTTTTAAGCGAAATTAGATAATAGATTAGCTTTTAGCATACAGTATTTTCTGAGTTAGAAGACTGAAAATTCAGCATTAGGAAGGAGTAAAGTTAGCAGTGTAGCGTTGTGCGATCCTAATCCAGTCGTAGTTCATATTACAAAGAAAAAGATTGAAACAGCAAACCGAGTAGGGAGATTTTTATGACAAGTCCGGGATAACTCTTTTCATGTATGTTTTTGATCTTTTTGCAACGAAATGATTGACAGGGAACATTTAGTAAATAGACTCTTGTTATATATACACTACTACAATGGCGAAATGATTGATTTATCTATGGCAAAGTTTATGATTAACTAACTATGACGTAAGAAATTCTCATTACATGTTTGCTATGTTACAAAAGCCTAAATGACCATTGCAAATTTAATTTTTTTTATCTAGCTTATAGGTAACAGTATTTTAGCATATAATACTATTACATACATACACCACACCAGCATTTGAAAAGGAATCGATCTTTGAAACATTGTCTTAGATTTTATGTCAAGAGATGTAGATAATCTTATAAATTGGTTCAAAAATGCAGAGGATAAAATTCTTTTGAAATAGGAAGTTATAATACAAAGTGAAATAAAATATTTAATAGGTCGAAATAACTGTTTAAAGATGGCAAGCAAAAAGCCATACAGATTACTTGTATTTCCTATTTTGTGTCAGAGTTAGTATAAAAGGGATCAAAACTTGATATGCCTTGTGTTTCACGTTAACCATTTGCTATGCCTTCAAATAATAAAATTGTTCTGAATCATTCAAAAATCATGCTGCGTCTAGACGAACTGTATGTCATTATTAAGAGTAGATGTTTATGGATACTTTTGAACTTACCGATCTCCATAGTGAACTAAATTCAGCTAGCTAACAGTAGTAAAAAGGCAAGATCGACATTGCTATTTCATACTATTGTGGGATTGTTCTGTTTGGCATTTATGACCCCTGTCAAGGATTGAACATACAGTCTTCAAGCCTTATAGCGAGGGTTTAACCCTTGCGTTGATGAGTTAACACTTAGTGGTTTACATTTGTAACTTCGGTAAATCACAGAAGTTCTAGTGAGAAGACATGACCAATGAAGTTCAGTCAGTCTGGAGTGCGACAAATGTCGTCAGTGGAAATGGATGACAAACTTGTAATATTGCAGATTGCATTAGCTACCATTTTTTAACTCTGTTAATATCAGTACATCGTTCAGTTTGTTAGTGAATGGTGAAAGGCAGAAATTGACTGACGACCAGTTGAACTGGTCCGCAACATATTGCATTACCATTTTACATCTCGCGGTCTATTGGTGGATCAATGCTTGGTTTTCGTCATTCCCAGTTAACTGACAAATTATTTTCAGTCTAATTCTTCTACGTTCATTCAAACGAATTTTTCTTGATCGGTATATTTGTTACATTTCCTGTCTTCGTTACTTCATCGTCCACAACTACTCATGATTACTCCACAGCCATTTCACCAATCTATGCATAAGTGACTTTACAAATAAATGTGTTTGGTGCCTATAAGGTTTTGTTACTTTTGTAAAGTCTGCCGACTTCCAGCTATTTAAACAAAAGTTCGGAAATAGGTCAAACCACTTCGATATGAACAGAAAATTAGTATCACTAACTGTAACCCATAAGATGCGGTATTTTATCCGGAACTTTCATTCATGGTCGGACATTTTGTCTTTCCTTTTATGAAAGCTGTGATACTGTCCAGACTTTAAGACCACATTAAGTGATTTTCGCTATATAAACCCAACGCTTGGTCCGAAATTTATTGAAATGGTACCAGGAAATGTATTTTAGCTCATGATCGTGATAAGCTTGTATCCCAATCGTTCTTTCAGAATTACAAAGCTGAAGCACTCGTTTAAAATCCCTATTTTCTTATCCTTCCAAATAATGCTTTCCAATATAATCACTTGACACTCTCTCAGCATATCACTTTGTGGGGACACTTCGAACACTTGAGTGTACTACGAAGAGTTAACATAGTAAAGACTATAAAGATGAGATTATATTAAAGAAGTACGTCAGGAAACAATGCATTATCCACCATACATTATATCATAACGTTTCCAAATAACTTACATAAAGAGAAGATTATCATTACTATTATATTCCATATGATATTGGTGAGTTCAACAAAAAACTAATTTGTTTTCCCATTAAAAAGTAAGTCAACGACAGCTCGTGAGAATTTTCTTTTGTCTTTCACTGTGTAACTAGTGTTCATAAGGTCGACGGAATTTTTTCGCAAACTATAAAACCTGGTAAACATTTGTTGATAAGCGTGATAAATTGATAATCTGACTCCAAAATAAGATTAAAAGTGGAAAGTTAAACCACTTTCTTATCAAACTAGGTAAATATTTTACGGGCAGAGATGAATGGTGACTAACAATGGGACCAGGTACACGTGTCTCCCCATATTTCGGACCGGAGAAACAGATGTACTTGCATCCGAGTTGATATTCACTTCGAGACTCGAGCCTGATATTGTTCGCTTCAAAGATTATCGAGTTATCAACAAGCCAGTGATTACCTGGAACTAGTAGCGAGTTGGATAACGCGATGATATTTGAAATGAACAATACTAGGTTGGAGTCCCAGAGTAGACTACAACTCTTGGATGCAGGTGTCTTGTCCTAAATAGGAAGAAAAATGCGTGTTGGATTCCGTGCTAGCCACTATGCATCTCTGTTTTTAGTATTTGTGACTAAATGTCAATATCAAAACAACCCGCGCAGGATGCATGCATGACAAAAGAGACTGTTCAGTTGCCGTCCTAAGCATCAATGGGAAGATTCAAAAAAACCAATGCAAATGAGCATAGTATTTTTTTAAATAAAATCATTACATATTAACTTTAGCCCACTGTTTATAATTTTAATACTATTGATTTTTTTTCTAGCTGAAATGATATTTCAAGCATTATTCTGCCTTGGTAATACAACCTTATCCGTTGTACGATGTGAACCAATTCGACTTGATAAAACAAAATCATCTAGTGAAGAGAAAAGCACTGATCAAAATGACTTATTCCGAATTTACAATCATATTTCACTTCCTGATGACGAACATGTTTCAGTAAATGTTGATGTGAATCGATTATTAAACTATAATAATATTGGAATAATTTTACAAATATTTACACGAACAGATACATCGAATCACTTAAGACGTGTGGCAAATATTTCAATTGGTGTGACTAAATTAACCGATAACTTAGCATCAATTCAGTGGAACGCTTTAATTAAAGAGTTAAAACAATTGAAAAGTAATAACCAATTATTTGGATCAACGAAAAAATTCACTTATTGGCATTTAATGGAATCATCCTGATTAGGGCTCTTTTCTCTCACTTTTTTTCAACTCGTTAAATCAAATATAATTGAAATGAAATAAACATTTAAACAAATGAACAGTTGACATGTTATAAAAATATATTGTGTTTATAAGTTCATAGAGAAAACGTATGAACGCATCCATGCATACATACGTACACGCATGGATATATGCATACATATAAACATAGAAAAGTAAATTCATATAATTGAATATACCCCGTGACTTAGATATTTGCTATTGTTTATTTGTTTGAGTAGATGAGTTAACTTTTTTTCTGCATATTACAATATTTATAACTATTGATAACGCTGTCTTACCTACATTTTTATCGGATATACATAAAATATATTGTATACCTATTCAAAGGAGGGTATAGATCGGAGCTCATGGCTATATGTTTATATCTCTGACAAAACATCACCTTTCTTAATCAGAAGGGGATTTGTGGAGATTTCAGTATATTTCAAAGTTGAAATCATGAGTCAATTGAAGCT